CGTTGTTGCCTCTGCTTCGCGGCCGCTTTTTGCGCGCCCTTCGCCTCGCTTCCCACTCCATCCGGCCTTCCCAGCTTCTGCGACGCCTCCTCCTTTACCATCGACCTTCTTCCTCCCCGGCTCGGCGTTTCCGCGTTTTTTCTTGCCCCGCTTATCGTGCATCGCCCGACTTCCCCCTGGGGTTTTCAGTCTTGCGCTCGTTCCCACGCACGGTGGGTACAGTTGTCATGTCTGCGACCCACATTGATTTTACTACCGCTGCCTGTAATCCATCGGCGAGTTGGAGGAAGTGTGTGTGTGTGTGCGTGCGTGTGTTCCTGTCGGTCTTTTCCTCTCGCCTGCGTGTGTCGTCTCCCTTGCTGCCCCTCCACACCTTCTCTTTTCCTGGACTGCCACCTGCGCAGCTGCCGCATGCGGTTTCCGTACTTTTGGTTATCTGGTTTCCGAGATTGTCCCCAGCCGCGACTAAAATCGAGCATCGCCTTCGCGCGTGGGAAGTGCGCGTGTGTGTGTGTATGTGTGGATCAGGCCCGTCCTGGCTTCCACATGAGGAGGTCAAGTTACTTTGATCAGAGTCTGCCCTGGTTTACCTGCAGACTGCAACCCATCGGCGCGCCGGAGGAAAGAGTGTGCGTGCGTGTGTTTACCGTATGACGTATGTCTGCGACCACGCGCCGATGCCAGAAGAGCCGCAGGGGGTGGAGGAGAAACGAGAGCCACATGCCGAGGGACGCCCCCCCCCCGCAGACCTCGCAGGGCTGTAAGCACGTGGCCACTCGCTCGCTCAACGTCGGCATGGGAGTGATCCGCGTTCGTCAACACGTGGCCCAGGTCCAGGAGGGAGGGGGGGGATGTGGGAGGGGGGGGCTTGCCCGGTCATCAAAAGTCTCGCGGAGGTCTTCACAGGGTGACCTCTGGAGGTGGTCATTGGCGGCTTCTGGAAGGTCCTGGCCAGAGGTCCCCGGAGGTCCCTGGAAGCCTGATGGTGGTCATGCTGCTGATGATGCTGATGATGATGCTGCTGATGATGGCGATGATGATAATAATGAGGCTGATGATAGCGATGATGATGATGCTGATGATGATGATGATGATGCTGATGGTGACGATGGCGATGACAATGACGATACTGATGATGATGATGATGATGATGATGCTGATGATGACGATGAGGCTGCTGACGACGAGAACGACCAAGATGCTGATGTTGCTGGTGAGTGTGATGATGATGCTGCTGCTGTTGAGGATGACGCCGATTATGCTGACGACGATGACGATACTGATGCTGTAGATTATGATGACGACCATGATGCTGATGATGATGCTGATGGTGATGATGATGGTGATGATGGTGATGATACGTGTGAACTTTCTGATGATGCTGATGCTGTCGCTGTTGCTGCTGCTGCTGATGACGATGATGATGATGATGCTGATGCTGATGCTGATGATGATGATGATGATGCTGATGCTGATGCTGATGCTGATGCTGATGATGATGGTGATGATGGTGATGATGGTGATGATGATGATGATGATGATGGTGGTGGTGATGGTGATGGTGATGGTGATGGTGATGGTGATGGTGATGGTGATGGTGATGGTGATGGTGATGGTGATGGTGATGGTGATGGTGATGGTGATGATGGTGATGGTGATGATGATGATGACGATGATGATGATGATGATGATGATGATGATGGTGATGAGGATGATGATGATGATGATGATGACGACGACGATGACGATGATGATGATGATGATGATGATGATGATGATGATGATGATGATGACGACGAGGACGACGAGGACGAGGACGAGGACGAGGACGAGGACGAGAACAAGTATGACGACGACGAACGACGACAGCGACCGACACGAACGACGACATCCAGACGAGCGAACGGCCGAGGACTGCCTCGTGGCCTGCTGCTCGCTCTGCGTCGAGCTGCCCTGCGCGCGGCACTGCGCCGCACTGCGAGCCGCGCTGGAGGGCGGCGCACCGCCCACCGACGCGCTGGAGGCCGGCTGCGGGCCGGTGCCCTCGTGGGGAGGGCCCCCGTGCCTCCTCGGGGCGGGGAGGGGGAGGGGGCAAGCAGTAGCAGACGAGGAAAGGCACCCATATACCTCAACCCGAACAGGCACCCATATACCTCAACCCTTCCCTCGTTTTCCCATTTTGGGGCCTCCTGGGAGGTCCTCGGCGCCACGGCTGAATGCGCCTCGAAATTCTGGTCAGAATGCACCCTGGGAGAGGTCTGATGAGTACCGGTATCGGTACAAGAAGGGGGGGGGGCGCATGCACGGAAGAGGAGGAGGAGGAGGAGGAGGAGGAGGAGGAGGAGGAGAAGAAGAAGAAGAAGAACGAGGAGGAGGAGGAGGAGGAGGAGGAGGAGGAGGAAGAAGGAGGAGGAGGAGGAAGAGAGGAGGAGAAAGAGGAGGAGGAGGAGGAGGAGGAGGGGGAGGAGGAGGAGGAGGAGGAGGAGGAGGAGCGGTTTTCGTTGGACTGAGTACCTCACCAGCCAGTACCTCCAGGAGCGATCGCCCCTGGAGTTACCTGGCTCACTAGTTTGACCACCCCCCAGGGCCGACACCACTCTTTGGGGGGGGGTTGGCAACTTTCGACGAATTTTCGTGTCTTCAGGCTTCTAGGAGGAGGAGGAGGAGGAGGAGGAGGAGGAGGAGGAAGACCAGTAGTCTCCCCCTTTCATTTTCTCTCTGGATCATGTCCTCCGTAGTTCGGTCGTTCCCGCCTTCTCTTCCTCCCCAATTCGTTTCTTGCCCTCCTCTGGCGAAGGCCAGGAGGAGGGCCACGACGGCATCGAGGATCATCCTGACAGTGCCACCAGCTTCGAGCCTCGAGGAGGAGGAGGAGGAGGAGGACCAGTGCAAAGCGAAGACGCATCAACACTGTTGCAAGACACCCTCTGTCCAAGTCCCCTCTTCATTGGGCCCTACAAGAGTCTATTGCAAAGGCCTTCGGATGGTGCCGCCGACCCTGAAGGGGGACGACAACGACGACGACAACGGCGACGGCGACGGCGACGACATCGACGACGCTGGCCCTTTAGACTAGAGCCGGAAGATTCTCCCAGGGAGGGGTGTTCCCCCTGGAGGGGCGGGGGGGCACAACCCCCCAGACCCCCCCCCCCATCCCACCCCCGAGACCCCACACCCATTGGCGGGGGAGGGATCAAAAGGAACGGGCTTCCCCTCGACTCGCTTACGATCTTGCTCGATTTTTCCTTTTGGTTGGAATACTTGAGGGGGAGCGGCGACGAAGACGACGACTCAAACGGAGAAGTCTCTCACAAACGTCATCAGGGTCGGCGGATCTGCGTTGCGGGTAATGCCCCATTCTAAGAGAACCGATTGAGACCCCTTGAACGTGCCCAAAAAAACAGTGCTGGGATGTCATTGACGCGAATCTGCGTGACGGCTGGGTCCTGGCAGTCGTAAATCGTGCCAGAACGCCGTTTGGGGGACCGCAACTCAGCGGATCAACGTGGCTGCTGCGTCTTGTCAATCCTAAACCTTGCTAGAACACAAATCCTGGGATTTTGGCCATGCGAATTCTTGTAACTGTCGCAAGATGTCAATACAATTCCCGCGGCGCTAAGACGAGAACCACATTTTGAAAAAGAGACGCCTTTCATTGATGGGCCAGTTGCATAGTTTAAGAATTTTGTGTGCGGCGCTGAGGCGAGAGCAACATTTTGCAAGCCACCCGCCCTCAAACCGTGAAGCTGTTGCAAACGTTTAAGGCGAAGGTGCGCGGTGCTAACACGAACAACATTTTGAGAACGGCCCGCCCTTCATACTCGAAGTAGTCGTAGTATGCTCTTGTGCAAAATAACCAATGCGCGCGGCGCGCAGGCGAGAACCACATGTATCAAACACCCGTTCTCCATCCGTGAAGCTGTTGGGAATTCGAAGCTTCAGAATGATAACATGGAGACGGTGTCTCAGGCGAAACGCCCCTCACGCCCCACCGACATGTCTGGGGGGGGGGAGACCAGGAGGAGCTATTAATAATGCAAGGGATGGAGAAGGAGGAGTCGGGAAGGGGGCGGCAAGGAGGAGGAGGAGGAGGAGGAGGGAAGGGGGGCAAGGAGGAGGAGGAGGAGGGAACGGGGGCGAGGATGATGATGATGATGCTGATGGTGGTGATGATGATGGTGATGGTGATAGTGATGATGATGGTGACGGTGATGGTGATTGTGATGGTGATGGTGGTGGTGATGATGATGATGATGATGATGATGATGATGATGATGATGATGATGATGATGATGGGGAGGAGGAGGAGGAGGAGGAGGAGGAGGAGGAGGAAAAGGAAGAGGAACATGACGAAGGCATGTTGAGAGGCAGGCGGGTCGGCCTCCTTCGGGAGGCGATCATCCTCCTCCTCGTTATCCTCCTCGCTCCTTCTTCTTTTCCTTTTCCTCACTTCCTATGTCCTCGTCCTTTTGTCCCTCTCTTTTTCATCCTTGGTCTGACTCCTCCTCCTCTCCTCCTCCCCCTCGCTTCTCGCTCCTCCTTCTCCTCCTCCTCGCTCCTCCTTCCTTCTCCTCCTCCTCGTCCCTCTTCCTTCTCCTCGTCCTCAGCTCTCCACTGTCGCATCACCAGTTGTGTCGGGAGTGCGGCCTGGGCGCTTCGCCTGTCACTACCTTGAAGCTTGAGAAAGTTCCAGCCGTCATACGGGTTGAGGGCGTCTCGTTTTCAAGGTGGGGCTCCCTCCTTGGCGCCACGAGCACTTGTTTTTAACAGTGCCCGTATACACGGGTGGGTGGCGTACTTATATATATATATATATATATATATATATATATACGGCGGTATACACGCATGTGTATGTTCATACGAAGGGGGGTGGGTGCGCCTATCGCCGTCCTGCTACACGTAGCTTCTTGTGGTTCAAGTTTGGCGGGGATTCGGGAGGTCCGTCAGCAGAGCCCCGCCAGCCCCCGCGCCCAGGGCGCATTCGGGCGCCCTGCGAGGGCAGCGCGCGCGGGGTCGGTCGGCAGCTTCCAGTGGAGGATGTGGAGCTGGTCGCGCTGGTGGACGGAAAGCTGTACGGGTCCGTCGGCTACAGCAACGCCCTGGAGGTGCAGTGCCAGCTCGTGTGGCTGTGCCAGCGGCACTCGCGCTGCGGCAGGCTCGCACGCGTGAGGCTGCTCTGGAGCGACGACAGCTACTGGGACTGGTGGTCGCAGTGTGCGGGCGAGCGCGGTGCGATCTCGCTCAGGCCCCTCTTGCACATCTGCGAGGGCCCGGCGCCGCTGTACGAGGCCGAGCTGCCGCCGAACTGCACGGAGCTGGTTCACACATCGGAAATGGCGCGGCTGACGGTCGAGGCGGCGGCGGAGCTGGCTGCAGCATCGGGCCACCAACCCAGGTGCGGTGTGGCCGCAGGACCTGCTGGCGCCGCCGCCTGGGGCCGCTCGGCCTGCCGAGGCGCCCGCCGCGGGCGCCCGCCCGTTCGAGGACCCCTTCGGCGAGCTGGACGAGGGGCCCTCCGCGCCCAGTGAGGTGGCCGCCCTGCGCTCGCGGCTGATGGAGTCGAAGGACCGCTTTGCCGCGCTGCGGGGCCGCGACAAGGGTGCCGCCCCCCCCCGCCGAGGGCGCGGCGCAGGCTGTACCTGCGGTCGAGGACGGGCCCGAGGTCAAGCGGCCGCTGGCGGAGGTGCTCTCGGAGCGCGCCGCGAAGGTTGCTCGCGGGGGGGCGAAGCTGCTGGCAGCGCCTCACCCGTCCGACGGAAGCGCGCGCGGGGCGCGCGATCGGGGGCCGACCGAGGGCGCGGCGGCCACGGCGGGCGCCTCCCGCGCGGCGCAGGACCTTGCGAGCGTCCTCGCGCGGCTGCTGGACGGGCGCCAGGGCAGCAGCGAGGAGATGGGCCTGGAGGGCGTCGCGACCGCGGGCGGATCTCTGATCCCGCGCGGGTTGATGTCCAGGCCAGGCGGGCTCACTGCCGCAGGGTGGCCACCGAGCAGCCCGGGCGCCTCGCCGAGGCGAGCTTAGCCCACATGGCGGACTTCCCCGGCACGCAGGAGGGGGAGAGCGCCGTCGACCCGCAGGGCGCGATCGCGCTGCGGTGGCTCCTCACGGCGTATCTCCCGCAGCACCCCGTGCGGGAGATCGGCGTGCCCACGTGCCGCGAGTTGCGGGCGCTCGCCGAGGCGCTCGACCACTTGGCGCAGGGGCGCACGGCGGCGGACCTGCTCGCGCAGCGGTTCAAGGCGCTCCAGGTCACGCTCCACGACGGGAATTGGTCGGGGGCGAAGTGGCCGGGGCACATGCCGCCGCGCGACGAGCCCACCGTGCTGCGGAGCGAGGAGGATGAGCTGATCAGGGGCATCCAGGTGGGCGAGCTCACGTTGGACGAGCTGACCGCGAAGCTGCGCGAGCTGGGCTGTGGGGTTTGACCGGGGCGAGGGGGGGGGGGGGGGTCGCAGCGCCCGCCCCGTCTTGCAGGCCCTGCGGGGGGGGGGGGGGGGGGCCCGAAGGCTGCCCCGCCGCGGCCTCCAGCGGTGCTGGGAGACGAGCTGGCCGAGGCGAAGGGTTCGAGGGCTCCGCGCCGCGCAGGCGGGGGAGGGGGGCCCGCGCGGGCGCGTGGGCCGACGCGCGCGCTGCGACCCCGAAGAAGAAGGGCGAGTCGAGCAAGGGGTACCAGGCTCGCCTTGCGAGCGTCGTGGCCGAGCTGAAGAAGAAGAAGGGCCCCCCTGCCCAGACGGCGGCCCGCGCCCCTTGGACGGCGAAGCGCTGAGCGTCGCCCCGCCCGAGGCGCCGTTGTCGGGCGTGGCCCAGACCCCCCCTGCTTGCCTCGAAGGCGGCGAAGGTGCAGCGGCACCGAGCGCCGCCAGCGGGGGGCGGCATCATGGCGCGGAGGCGGGCGACGCGCTGCCGCCGCTGGAGCTGGGCGCTGCCCTGGCCGGGACGGTCGCGCCGCGGGCCAGCGCTGTCGGGGCCGAGGCGGCGCTGCCGGAGTCGCTGCCGCTGAGGGAGGGGTCGGAGAGCATGACGGCTGGGCGCAGGAGGTCGCCCGCCGAGCTTGGTCGGCCCATGCGGCGGGTCGACCTGGCAGTCGAGCTCGTGAGGTTCGCGCAGCTGCGTCCTGGCACCCTGGGTCGTCTCGCAGGGCAAGCGCTCCCAGTCGAGAGGAGTGGCGCGAAGGCCCGAGTCCGGGGCCTGCCGCCGCTGCCTCCCCCGCCCCTCGAGGAGGTTGCGAGGTGGGCCCAGGCTGCCAAGGGCTCGCGGCGTCGTCTCGCGCCCGTGGCCAGGGCGGTCGCGGCTGAGGCGTGGACCTACATGAGCGCGCTGGGCCTCGACCACATGCACTGCGGGGTCGCTCGGGAAACGCTCCGACTCGGAGCGACGCCGACTCTGGCGCAGGAGACGGCCATGCGGCGCATTCGCTCGCGGGCGGCGGAGTTTGTCCAGCAGCCTTCCGAGACCGTGGCCGTCGCTTCTTTGGGCGACGCGGTCGCGACCTCGTCAGTGGACTACAGCGGGGAGCCCATGATGCGCGCTCTCCCCTGCGCCGTCGCGGAGCTGGCCCCTGGCCTGCCGAAGAGGGAGCACGAGGCGACCCTGAGCGCGATCGACTTCGTTGACGACGAGGTGGCGCGTTGGCTGGCCGACCCCACGCTGGCGCTTCAGGCGGAGGCGGACTTCCTTGACCCCCCCCCCCGAAGGCGCGGGTCAACGTCGGCTCGCAGTTCGAGTGGGAGGCCCTGGCGATGCACCTCGTGCGCCTCGGGATCTTCACCGTGCTTCCCGCCGAGGAGCTGGTCCGCGTCCGCGGCGAGCCTCTGCTGAACGGGCTCTTCGCTGCGGAGCAGAGCACGCCTGGGCCTGGGGCCAGTCGCGTCACGAGGCCCATCCTTAACGTGGTGCCTGGCAACGCGCTCATCGAGCCTCGCGCAGGGGAGGTGGCCATGCTTGCTGGGTCCACGAGCTGGGTGTCGCTGCGCATCCCCGAGGGGAAACTGCTCCGTTGGCCAGGCGACGACCAGAAGGGAGCGTTCTTCGTGTAGCGCGTGCCCCTGCGCATGGCACCGCTACATGGCGGTGGGGCGGCCGCTGGCGGGCTCGCGCGGCAGGAGCCTGAGGTGCGCCTCGCGTCGGCGGTGATCGCGATGGGCTGGTCTCTGGTGGCCCCAGTGCACCGGCACATCCACAGGCGGCTGCGCCGCCTGCCACCGCCGCTGGGCGCGGGGCTGCCCCCGCAGGCGGAGTGGCGCAAGGATGCGCCGCGGCCCGTCGCCGCCGCTGCAGAGGAAGGAGATTCAGCGTGGTGGCAGGTCTACATCGACGACTTCGACGTGCCCGAGATCGTGGAGGAGGCGCGCGCCAGACGCCTGATAGGCTTGCTGGCGGAGCAGGTCAGAGCGCGAGCCAGCTATGACAGGGCTGGCGCCGCCAACTCGGCGGCGAAGGCTCACTGCAGGCAGCTTCGGGTCGAGCGCATGGGGCCGACGTCGACGGCGAGTCCGGCCGCCTGGCCGCCTTTGGCCAAGTCGCTCGAGGCGATCGCGCTGTGCCTGGCCCCCTTCAGGCTCGAGGCCGTGCCGTGGCGGCTCGCGATGACAACCCTCGGGCGCTTCGCTGGGCTCTTCGAGTTCCGAAGGCCCCTCTTCAGCGTGCTCAGCGAGGTCTGGAGGTTGAGCTCGCAGCGCGGCAACGCGAGGTTCTCCGCGGCGATGGTCGAGGAGCTGCTGACCGCCAAGCTGGTGCTGCCGATGGCCGCGGCCTCGCTGCGAGCCAAGATCGAGGGCGTGGCCACTGTCTCGGACGCGCCCGAGTTCGGCGGGGGCGCGCGCGCGCGGGGTGGGCCCCCGAGCCGAAGCGGAGGCCAGCCTCGACGGCGCTCCGACGCTGGACGAGCAGATGCACCTGGGGACTCGCCTGCTGCAGCTGCCCGCCGAGCCCTCAGAACCCTGGGCGGTCGCCAACCCCCTCATCCCGCGGGCCGCGGTTCTGAGGGCGCCCAAGGTGCTCCTCGTCGGCCTGTTCAACGGGGTTGGGGGCCTGGCGGTGGCCTTCTTGCGATTGCCCGCGCGGACCATGGGTTACGTCGCGGCGGAGACGGACGCCGAGGCGCGCAGGGTGGCGCGCCTGCGCTGGCCAGGCGCGATCGACTGGGGCGACGTGGCGCGCGTGGCCGCTGTCGTGAACGAGCTGCGGGGCGCCTGCTGCGACGAGGTCGACCTCTGCGCGGCGGCCGCGGGCAGCCCCTGCCAGGACCTGGCCAGGCTGAGCGCGTCGAGCGCGGGCTTGCGCGGCGCGAAGTCCGGCTTGTTCTACGAGGTGCCCCGCTTGCTGGAGCTCCTCAAGGCGGCGTTCCGTCACCAGCTGAAGTGGTTCGTCGAGAACGTCGCGCCCGTCCTGCACTCGTCCGTCCTCGTGCCCTGCCGACGTCCCAGGCTGTGCTGGATGAGCTGGGAGCCGCGCGTCGCTGCCCCGCTCGCCGTGGCGATGAGGGACGGGTTCCGCGAGGTTCGCGCGCCGAGGGGCCCCCTCTGCGAGTTGGCCTGGCAGGACGAGGGAGCCCGCTGGCTGGGTGCTCCAGGACTGTTCCCAACGCTAGCATGCTGCAGGCCGCTGCCGAAGTTTCCCCCGGCCCCGACGGGGGCCACAGCAGGCCTCGGCGGCGGCGCGCGCTCGGTGGGGGGCGGGCTCGCTCCGATATCACGTTGCCCTGCACGAGGAGAGAAACTTGCTGCTAGACAGCGCTGCGGGCTCCGTTCAACGCCCCCCTCCGTTCGGGCTCAAACGAGCTCGAACGAGCGCGACTGCAGCGACGCGCGGGCTCTCCTCCTGGGCAACAGCTTCAGCCACCTTGGCCTCGCGACGGTTGGTGCTGCACTACCTGGCCCGAGCGGAGAAGGGCGGGGCCGACGTGAGCCTGGACTGCGGCCTCCCCTACAGGCCGCGCGGGTGGCCGCGGTCAAGCCTCGGCCCGTTCGTGTGGCGGTGGCGCGCGGTGCTGAGCATGGCGTGGCCTGCAGCTAAGAGCGTCAACATAGACGTCCGAGAGCTGCAGGCGGCGGCGGCGGCGCTGCGGCGGCGCGCCCGCAGAGCGAGTCGGCATGGCAGCAGGTGGCCCCGCCTCGTCGATAGCCAGGTCGTCGCGGCGATCGCGGCGAAGGGCAGGGGCGGCAGCCGCCGCCTCCAGCCCGCGCTGGCCAGGTGGGCCGCGGCCGCGGTGGCCGCCGACACATACCCAGTCGTCGGTTACGTCGCGTCAGAGGACAAACCCGCTGACGAACCATCGAGGAGGTTGCGGCGTGGCTCGCGGCTCAGGACCGCCGCGCTCAGGCTGCCCACGCTGATGCCCCCGCGCCGCGGGGGCCCCCCGCCGCGCGCGTTCGGCTGAAGCTGGGCGCCCTGCGGGCCCAGTCGCTGTTCCTGCTCCGCGTGGGCGCCGCGGCGAGGCATCGGTACTCCGCCGCGGTCGACCGCCTGCTGGAGCACTACGGCGTCGCAGGGGGCGGCGTCGAGGCGCTGGGCCAGGGGCGAGGGCGCCGACGCGCTCGTCTCAGGGCACCTGGAGGTCCTCTTGGCCTCGGTTGCGGGCGTCGCGGCGGCGAACAACGCGGTGGCGGGCGCGTCGTGCTTCTTCAGCCCGCGCCTTAGGCTCTTAGGCGCCGGATGGATCTGAGCTGGGCGCTGCGGAAGACATGGCGGAAGAGGGGGCCCGCGGCGCGCGTGCCCCCCTTCGCTCCCGAGATCGTCGGGGCCATGGCTGGCCTAGCGGCGCTGGAGGCAGGCTGTGTCGACGTCGCGTGCCTCCTGATGGTTGCTTTCGAGGGCCTGCTGCGCGGCGGCGAAGCCTTCGCGCTGTGAAGGGGCGACGTGGCTTTCCGTGGCCAGTGCGCCGTCCTCCACATCGCCTCGCCCAAGGGCTCAGCGGGGCGCGACGCTGCGGAGGCGGTCGTCATCAGGGCGCCGATCGCCCGCCAGCTGCTGCGGCTCGCCACGCACGGCCTGGGCGAGGGGGACAGGCTCAGCACGCGGTCGCCGCGCCAGTTGCGGGCGGCCCTCGCAGCGCTGGTGGAGGGCCTCGGCTTCCAGTGCCCGTTCAGCTGGCACAGCTGCCGCCGTGGCGGCGCGCCAGAGTGCTTCCTGCGGACCAAGAGTATGGAGCTCACCTTTGCCCGCGGGCGTGGGGCCAGCAGCCTTGCAGCCCGCATATATGTGGAGGACGCGCTGGCCGACCTCGTGCGGGTCCAGCGCGGTGGCGCGCAGGCGACGCTCGTCCGACAGGGGCCCCAGTCGCTGCGCGTCTTCTCCAAATTGCCCTAGTGCAGTATCTGTTCTTATCTGTGTGTAAAAGCGTTCGCATTGTTTAACGCCTCCTTCTCACCCGCCCCGCCTCTCGAAGTCCTCTTCCTGATGCGCCCCATGGGCAAGCCAGCGTTGGCCTGTGGGGTGCCACGGCGTCCCTGTGGTGGTCCCGGGCCATCGCGGGGCGTTTCGGCGGCCCCTCGCTTTCGGCTTGGCGCAGCTGCTTCGGGGTCCGCACAGGGACGCCGTGGTTGCAGGTGTTGGCGGAGTCCTGAACGGGGCGCAGGCTGTAGGCAAAGAGGTGGCGGCTTTTTTTTCTTACAGGTCTGGCCTTAGAGGTCCTCTTCCTGTCTCGCCCATGGGCAAACCAACGATGGCCTCTGGGGTGCCACGTCGTTCCTGGGGACCCTGGTCCGTCGCGGGCCGTTTCGGCGGCCCCCAGCTCTGGGCGGGGCGCAGCTGTTGCGGGATCGTGCCAGGGACGTCGTGGCCACAGGTGCCGGCGGTGTCCTGAAAGGGTTCAGGTAGCAGGAAAGAGGTTCAGACCTTCTTCTCACCCGCCCCACCTCTCGGAGTTCTCTCGCAGGCGAGAGGCGGCGGTCCTCTCCCGACCCACCCTCGACGGCCCTCGTCCCGATCGCCCCGAGAGAGGGCGCGGGTTGCAGGGTGAGGCGGGACGGTCAAGGGGAAAAGCTTTCACACCTAAAGTAGGTCCGGCCTAACGACCAGTAGGGTGGGGTGTGGAACTACGGGGGGATTGCTGAAAAGCGGCCCGTTGGGCCAACGTGGGGGGAAATTGGGCTACACTCTGGCGGCGCCCCCCCAGCGTTTCGGGAGAGGGCGGCTTGCGGTCAAGGGCCGCCCTTGGGGGCCCGCCGACGCGGTCGGCTGGGGGCCCCCCCGATTCGGGCCGGATGCTCTCGGACGAGTCGCAGCGTTCCCTGGGGCCGCGGCGCCTGTCCTCAGAAACGTTAGTGGGGGTTTCACGGGGCGTCAGAGCGTAGTGGCCATTGGTGAGGGAGCGCCTGCCCCAAAAGCGTGTGTGTATATATATATATATATATATATATATATATATATATATATACACAAATTGGGGTGTTCGCTTGAGACGTTGTCACCGACGCAATAGCAAGCGTGTGCAGCAGCTGCACGGATAGAGGGCGGGCCCCATTTCAAAGAGGGGTTGTCGTTGGGCATGTCCTTGCACTTTCTGGCCGCCCCCCGCGCCGCAACCTGTAGAACCCAAAGGATCGAGAGCGGTTTCGGTCAAAGGGTGTTTCAGACTAAATTGCGGTCCTACAGCACGCTTGACCTTCAAGGGGGCATTTCGTTCATTGAGAAGTAGTGTTTCTTGTGGGGAGGGGCCATTTTGCGGGCAGGGTGTACGTTCTGCATCGGTGATATAGAATAGGTTTACTCTGGTCCTCCTCCCTCGTCCGTCCCCTTGTGTGCAACTCCCTGTCGCACCACCAGGCGTGTCTGTAGGGTGGCCTAGGCGTGCCGCTTGAGACTTCCTCGCAGCTTACGGCTGTGAAACCTGTAATCTTGACAGTTGCACGGGTGGAAGGCGGGCTGCTTTCAAACTACTATACATCACGGAAAGAATTGGTCTAACCAGGGTTGGCCGGGAGGATTGGCCAGATCTCCAGAGGTTGGCCAGGAAAGTTGGCCGGGTCCGTCGTCGCACGAGTTGGTTAGCGACGTTGGTTCTGACAAGTGAGGCGTTCGGCTGAGACACTATCAGAAAGCATGTTACTGTTATCAAAAGCAGGCTTCCTGCCTGAGACGTCACGAGGAAGTCTAATGCGAAATCGAGGGGTCATGGAAAAACAAGTAGCACAGCATAACACATAAACGAATATCAGAGTATCCCAAGCCATGGTATGGCGTACATGTCGTAATGCTGTTGGGTTTGAGTTCTAGACGCTTTGCGTATCCCCACCAGCGTCCGTAGCGTAGTCTGGCTCATGCTGGCTAAAGCCTTGGCTCAAGCTGCTCTGGCTCGAGGTGCCGAGCTGGCTTGCCAAGCCGCGGCCCGGGGCCTGCCCCTGGCCCTCGGCCTCCCCTCCTGCGGGAGCGCGGACGGGGCCTCCCCTCCGCGCTCCTGCTGCGCCCCGCTATGATGTCGCCGTCGGCGCGCACGGCTTGCCGGCGGCAGCAGCGGCAGGCGGCGGCCGTACGCCGGGGCGGCACCGCCGGCGCGGCCGCCGAGGCCGCCGCGGCGCCGCCGCCCGGCCTGCCGCTGCACTCGGCTGCCGCCGGCGCCGCCGCCGCCGCGGCGGCCGGCTGCTCGGCCGGGGCCGCCGCCGCGGCCGCCGCCGCGGCCCCTGCTGACAGCGCTGCCGCGGCCCGCCGCGGCCGCCGCCGAGGCTGCCGCCCCCTGCTGGCAGCCTGGCCGCGCGGCCCGCCGTGGCCCGCCCTCTGCAGCGGCTGGCGCCGCTGGCGCTGCCGCCCCGCCCCCGCGGCCGCCGCCGCCGCGGCGCCGCCGCCGCGGCCGCGGCGGCGGCCGCGGCCGCCGGGCGCCGCTGGCGCCCCTTGCGCCGGCGGCGCCGCCGGCTCCGCGGGCGCCGCCGCCGCTTGCGGCGCCGCGGGCCGGCGGCGCTGGCGCCGGGCGCGGCGCTGGCGCCGCCGCCGCCGGCGAGGCCGCTGGCACCGCGGGCGCCGCCGGCGCCGCGGGCGCGCCGCTGGGGCCGGCTCCGCGGGCTCGGCGGCCGGCGCCGGCGCCGCCGCCCCTGCGGCCGCCGGCGCCGCGGCGGCCGCCGCCGCCGCCGCCGCCGCCGCCGCGGCCGTGGCGGAGGCGGCCGCCGCTGCGGCCGCGGGCCACGCGGCCAGAGGCGGCCGCCGTGGCCCGCGCGGCCGCGCTTGGGCCTGCCGCGGCTGGCGCCGCCGCGACCGCCGCGGCCGCCGCGGCCTCTGGCGCGGCGGCGGCGGCCGCGGCGGCCGCGCCGCAGCAACAGCAACCGCCGCTGCTGCACCTGCAGGAGCAGCCACTGCTGCAGCAGCAGCACCTGCAGCCGCAGCCTCAGCGCCAGCTACAGCAGCAGCGGCAGCAGCAGCCTCAGCCGCAGGACAGCTACAGCAGCAGCAGCCGCAGCAGCAGCAGCAGCAGCAACAGCCGGCAGAAGCAGCAGCAGCAGCAGCAGCAGCAGCAGCAGCAGCAGCAACAGGCTCCCAACGGGCTGACGCACCAGCAGGGCAGCAGCTGCAGCAGCAGCAGCCGCAGCAGCTGCAGCAGCAACAGCCTCCCCCACCTCCCCCTCGAAACAACCAGGCCAGCCGAACAGCAGCAGCAAGAGCCTCCCTGCGACCGCGATTGCAGCAGCAGCAGC